TGGGGCCAGGCTAGGCAGGGCAGGGCTGGGCTGGGCTGAGCTGAGGAGTCCCCTCCCCGCTCGCGGCCCGCTGCAAGGCAGACTGCTCCTGCAGAAGGACCAGAGCAGCGGCTCCTCTCCAGCCTGCTCTGTGCCCTGAGCCCTGCAGCTAGCATTGCAGACCCTGTCCTGCCCGTTTGACTAACTTCGTAGGTTGGATTAATTAAGCGGGGAAAGTTTTAGAAGATAACAGCAGGGGCTGGTCAGCACCAAGGCAGAGCTCCCCCTTCCCTTTAGGGAACGGGTCGGTGATATTTAGGAAAGGTACCGAGAGCCTTGTGTGTGCCCTGGCAGCGAGTGCTTCCTTCCTCGGCGGGGTTTTTCTTCCGTGTTATTAGACAGATTGTGTTGAAGGCTGCAGAAAAGGAGTCTGGTCAGTGTGGCAGAGGCGCTCTGGCTAAGGGTGCTCCTGAGCTGAGAAGCCTCTAACACTTTTAACACAAAGGAAATGTGACATCAGATTCGGGGCTTTGGCAGGATAAAACTTGCTGAGTTGACAGATGTTTAATTTCAGCGTTACTTTTCATTTGCGATCTCCTTCAGTATCTAGAGGGCATCATAAATCCGTGGCTGAGAAAAATATATCGATGGAGAGCGGTTCCTTATAAAAGCTACTTAACATAGAGATGACTTCAGATTCGATGGGCTGCTATTTTATTGTATCCGGGCAGTTTTTCCCAAGCTCTCTCCCGGCGTGTGTGCATGTGTTATCTGTAATCTGCACACACGTATATCAGAGATGCACACGTGTAGACAGATCACCCTATACGGCTATGGCCGCGTGCATAATTTAAGCACCGTAAATGTGGCGTTTGTGTCTTGAGACGCTGATGTTTCATCTCCTTCAGTGCAAGCTGGAGTCAAATCTGCATTCGCTGCTTCCACCAAAAAGTTGCTTTTTTTGCAGCTGGTTTTATTAAGCCGGGGTTTTAGGTAAAGGGAGATATTAGGACCCTGAAAAGGCAGCCGGGGAGGGGTGGGGGGGGTTTGA